ATTAGCTCCAAAGGGTGCTTCTACTAAATACTGAGCAAAGGGTCTGAATACTTATGACCATGTGATATTTCAGTTTTTCTTTTTAATAAATCTGCTAAAATGTCAAAAATGCAGTGTTTTTCTGTCAATATGGGGTGCTGTGTGTACATTAATGAGGAAAAAAACTTAACTTAAATGATTTTAGCATATGGCTGCAATATAACAAAGAGTGAAACATTTAAGGGGGTCTGAATACTTTCCGTACCCACTGTACCTTGTCCATTACTTGTAATTTAAACCCATAGTCTGTTTTCGTACATTGCCCTACATATCTTACTGTTAACATCAATTGTACATATCTATCGGTAAATTAGTTCTGACTGTACATACTGTAGATACTGCGCACTCTGCACTGCTGTTATTGCACTTCTGGTTAGATGCTAAACTCCATTTCATTGCCTTGTACTTGTACATGGGTAATGACAAAGTTTAATTTAATCTAATCCAATGAATTATCTTCAGAGCTTTTTACTTCCATCTTTGTCTTTTCATATATAAAAAGAACAGTGTGTTATTTCTTCTTTCACCAGTTAAAAATTACAGATCAGCGGTCATTTAATCAGTGTTATAAATAAATTCTAGTCTTATGTTTGTCTACACTAATAGCAGTCAGATCAGGAAATTATTGTGTGTGTGTGTTATGAGTTATACATACTATAAGTAGGGCCTCCAGGTGGCTGAGATAGGTCTCCTCACTGGCCAAGATTCCTGACAGAACCCACTTTCTCATCTCTAGCCCCTTCTCCTGGTCCAACTCCACCTGACATAACAATTGGCAAGCATGAAGAGAAGACATTCTCTGATAGAAAACACTCATTTTGACATATGAACTGCAGATGGGTTTGATCTTTAATAAATCACCCACACATGTCTGCAAACCCCTGGCTGCAGATATTACTGTTGTGGGGGGTTAGGACAGACCACATTTGATTAAAGTCTGTGGGAGTTTAAGATTCCAAGAGGCCTGCACCAGAGACTCTTAGCACCTTAAGGAAGACAAATGTGTTTCTAGTCCAGGAGTTGTTATTTTAATCGGGTCATATCCATCAGTCATAGTGTGGGCTATGAATGCCAGTAAGAAGCCTGCTGGAGCACTGAGAAGGGATGTATCAAAATCTGCCATTACATTAGCTAGACGAAACCAAAAAGCTGTATGCTGGGTGAACCACCCCCCTGTTTTAGGCGTTGAAGATCACCAAGTGTACACATCAGAGGACAAGGATACCACAGATAGGATGGAACAGAGCGGAGGGGGAGGGGAGCTGGCTCTCTATACAACATCTGTTTGCCCACAGTCAGTATACTTGCTGAGCATGTCAAGTATGGTCTTTTTCCAGTAACACATTGCTTCAAAATGAAAAGCACATCCCTCTGGGAGCTATATGATGAATCACTAGCCTTTGGATCCCTCAGCTAGAGCAGCTATTTGAATGCTCTGCTAGAGGTATCCTCTGTAGTATTTAAAAAAAAAACTCCCTTCACTGATTTTGCACATGAAGTTCAATTCTTCATAAAGTGCACTACTCAGCTTGTTAAAACAGCTGTAAAATGTCTCTAGAAGTCTAGAAAAAAAAAAAAAAAAAACAAACCGGGCGGCAACATCATTAGTGTTACAATCAGACTGTATGTTGAGGATACAAATGTATAACTCTCTGTATTTGAGAGTGGGAGTGTGTTGTTTGAAAGCTATGGACATTCATAAGGCACAGAGGACAAAATGAAAGATACAATCTAGTTGAATTATAAGAAATGTAGCATTTTGGAACTTGCCCTTACTTAGGGACTAATAATGAGCAGCCACTTTCAGGTTTCCTAACTTTGTGGAAGTTTATTACAGCAGAGTCAGGGGAGTGGTGAGAGTAGACAGCCAAAGAAAGAAAAGAACAAGCTGAAAGTTAACTTAAAGTGGGCTAGTATGAAGGTGAAGCCAGAGAAATCAAGGAGCATTTCAATAGTGAAAAGTGTGCTGTCGGATAAAAGATTATGATGAAAATGATGAGCCAATTCCAACAGTGTTAAGAGAAGCCAGTCAAAAGATTAGGTAGGTGGTATGATGCAGCTCTCAGTGAAAAAGAGCAGCTTCAGGGCTTGAGACAGCAGGCAGTTGATGGTATTAAGTGTATAGAGGTGTCAGGCCACCCAGGTCTTCTGCCATGATTGTTATGGCCGCTGACAGTCTATGATGTACCAATTTTTAAGGTAGAGAAGCTAGAGAGAATGTTTAGTATGTACATTAGGCAGCCGGGAGATCCGTGCTGCCTCAGCAGTGTGGTCCTGTATGAAAAAGGATTTTGAAAAAGTTTGACTAGTTTGTTGGAGTGAATAACAACATAGGGTGGATTCTATGCAGCACAAAAGGTAGCAGAAAGAAATCTGGCTATTATAATAAATCTGGTTATTTGGTGAGCTATCTGAAATGTCTGGTGAGTTACTTTAAATGTTGGGTGGTTAGAACAGCAGTTGAAATGTTTGCTAGTGACTGTTTGGTAACAATTAGCCTGAGTAGATGAAAGGTTGTGTTGGGTGTGTGGGTGCAGGTAAAGAGGGGGGTGGTTCTGGGATGCTGTTGAGCCTTCTCTGTGTTGTGGGCCCAACTCAACAAGGCACCAGTTAGTGAGAGGGTGCCCACCTGATGACCCTGTAGACTTGCTTTCACACAGAATTTGTACTTGTGTTGGTGATAATAGTTACGGACTCAGTGGGGCTATTAGTAGTTTATTCTTATTTTGTTAGACAATCTTGGTAGAACAGTGTTAGTAGTTGGCCACCTGAGTGGACCTAGCTCTCAGAGGTGACTGTCGTTACAAGCCAGTTGGACCAGCCACTGCTTAACCTGAGCAAACACAATGCAGATGCTGTGTATCAAGCCACATATCTGCTCTTTGCTTGGGTGAGAATAGGATTCAGGGATGCTTTGTGTTAAGGGAAGGTTATGTCTGGAAAATGTTGTGGTGCTCCTGACTTATGACAGCATGGCCTGACACCCCCCTCTTTGGGGCCAAATAATGGTTAACATCATTTAACTGGTATACTGAGTTTCCATATGAATGCTCTGCTACTCTTTGGTACATTTGGAAGCTACATATTGTGTATTATTGACTGACTGTCACATTAGTTCCTCTTTAAAGAAAATGTTATTTGCTCTCCCTGTACAGATTTATTTGGCCAAGATTAAACCCAGCAAACATCTTTTTTTGCACAGTTTTACATATTATTGATTTGGAAATATTCACATATACAATAAACAATGAAGCCAACTACTGGAAAGACTAAGCTGCATGTTAGATACCGGTGTCCTTTTGCAGGAGATTTAGTGGTTTGTTTAATGGAACAGAACAAGAAGGGGAAAACTTTTCTTCCAATATAAACCAACAAAAATACCAATTAAAGAGTTTCCAGCATGTTTATCACTTACATGCACATGCGGCAGCACCACACAAACATGAGTAAAATGAATAAACAGCAGTAGCCTTTTTGTGAGAGGAAGCATATGGTTTAAAGGACATTTTGGTGCAATCTACTGAAACATTAAGACTGTAAGACGGTGCTTCAGATAACAGATACTTTAGACTTGAGATACCACTGTTTCAAAGTAATTATTTTATGAAATAAAAAAACGACTTAACATTACCTGAAATTGATGTTCACTTTTTAAAAATCTACCTAAAATGTTGAGATTTACTTGGTACTCCTACACCAAGATAAAGGCAGTAGAAGGAGAGGCAGACAGGTACTATAAAAGCAACTATCCAGCACAGAACAAGAAACCACAGCTACTCAAAGTGTTGGATGGTGTGTGTGGTGAGAGGACAGTGAAGGACAATGCAGCAGAGAGGCGAGAGCAGCAGCAGCAGCAGCAGCAGCACTGTGGGCTGAGAGACACAGTTGATGTGTCAGACGTGTTGGTGGGAGTTGACCCAGTCACATTACCGACAGTGTGGACTCCAGTGAGCCGGAGGATTGAGTGTCTTGGCTGCTCCGGTTCTTTGAGCGGAGACGTGGCGAGGAGGAAGGAGATCTAGTGTAGCACAAAGGGTCATGACAAGGCTGGTGCTCCTCTGAGTGCTCCAGGTCATATCCATATGAGAGAGGGGTCTCATTATAGGGACCCTCTGCAAGAAGCAGACAGACAAAGGACAAAAGTCACATGTTGTGTCATTAAGCTGTTAAGCCACATAGTAAACAAAGAGACACATCACTGGAAATGCAACAAATGAAATCAATTTTTTTCCATTGGCACTCTAACACAGGGTCAATAAAAGGTTCAAGTGAGTGGTGCTAACAAAGCTTATTAGGAACTGATGTCAGAAGGCTATTAAGATAACCTTTTTAAATAGTTTGTTACAGTGTCATTGGGAATGATGTAAGCAACTACATTTGAATTCTACAACAGATACACAGAAAAAGAAAAGAACTTACACAATAAAACAAGATCCAATATAATATCACAATACAGCCTACAACTGTATAAATCATAATGATTTTTGTGGATACTGTTTGAGAGGTGTTATGTCAACTTTATCTGCAACTTGAGGTGCAAATTGCTCTGTGAATATACACAAATACTACACATCTGAAATGGGAAGTTCCTGCACTAACCAAAATTTTCATATTAACAGTGAACTAAATGACCCAGTGTAATGTGAAAAGTATGATCAGAAGAAATGGACAGCACCTAAGTTAAATATATCACCCAATTCAGCACTTCCTCTCAGCTCTACTCACCTTTTTTAGCCTAATTTAGCTCATTGTTTTGGTTTTACTGCCAGCAACTTTACGGTTGGTTCAGTCACAGCACCCTCTATTATTATCTACAGATGCTCTTTAGTTTGTTATTGCGACTAGCTGGGGAACCTATTAGCAGCTAAAGAAGAAAGTATTCACTCAGGGGTGAAGTCCAAAACAAAGGGAAAAGGAAAGTGAAAATTAGGCTTACATTTGTTAGGTGGCTTGAAATATGACTCCAAATGTTGCTCTGCGACTAATGCATGTGGAAATAATCACCTGTTTGCAAACACATTCACCACAACTTTATAAGGTGAAAGGTTGCATTTCCAGTTTTCCCTGCTGCTGTGACCATAAAAAAAAGAAATCTAATAATGTTGCTTAAAGGCAGTAGCTTTGTCTTTAAATTGTCCTGTGTTCAAATATACAAACCTTCATCATTGAAGTTGATATTATGCTACATACAGTGCCTTGCGAAAGTATTCGGCCCCCTTGAACTTTGCGACCTTTTGCCACATTTCAGGCTTCAAACATAAAGATATAAAACTGTAATTTTTTGTGAAGAATCAACAACAAGTGGGACACAATCATGAAGTGGAACGAAATTTATTGGATATTTCAAACGTTTTTAACAAATAAAAAACTGAAAAACTGGGCGTGCAAAATTATTCAGCCCCCTTAAGTTAATACTTTGTAGCGCCACCTTTTGCTGCGATTACAGCTGTAAGTCGCTTGGGGTATGTCTCTATCAGTTTTGCACATCAAGAGACTGAAATTTTTGCCCATTCCTCCTGCAAAACAGCTCGAGCTCAGTGAGATTGGATGGAGAGCGTTTGTGAACAGCAGTTTTCAGTTCGTTCCACAGATTCTCGATTGGATTCAGGTCTGGACTTTGACTTGACCATTCTAACACCTGGATATGTTTATTTGTGAACCATTCCATTGTAGATTTTGCTTTATGTTTTGAATCATTGTCTTGTTGGAAGACAAATCTCCGTCCCAGTCTCAGGTCTTTTGCAGACTCCATCAGGTTTCCATCCAGAATGGTCCTGTATTTGGCTCCATCCATCTTCCCATCAATTTTAACCATCTTCCCTGTCCCTGCTGAAGAAAGCAGGCCCAAACCATGATGCTGCCACCACCATGTTTGACAGTGGGGATGGTGTGTTCAAGGTGATGAGCTGTGTTGCTTTTACGCCAAACATAACATTTTGCATTGTTGCCAAAAAGTTCGATTTTGGTTTCATCTGACCAGAGCACCTTCTTCCACATGTTTGGTGTGTCTCCCAGGTGGCTTGTGGCAAACTTTAAACGACACTTTTTATGGATATCTTTAAGAAATGGCTTTCTTCTTGCCACTCTTCCATAAAGGCCAGATTTGTGCAGTATACGACTGATTGTTGTCCTATGGACAGAGTCTCCCACCTCAGCTGTAGATCTCTGCAGTTCATCCAGAGTGATCATGGGCCTCTTGGCTGCATCTCTGATCAGTCTTCTCCTTGTATGAGCTGAAAGTTTAGAGGGACGGCCAGGTCTTGGTAGATTTGCAGTGGTCTGATACTCCTTCCATTTCAATATTATCGCTTGCACAGTGCTCCTTGGGATGTTTAAAGCTTGGGAAATCTTTTTGTATCCAAATCCGGCTTTAAACTTCTCCACAACAGTATCTCGGACCTGCCTGGTGTGTTCCTTGTTCTTCATGATGCTCTCTGCGCTTTAAACAGACCTCTGAGACTATCACAGTGCAGGTGCATTTATACGGAGACTTGATTACACACAGGTGGATTCTATTTATCATCATTAGTCATTTAGGTCAACATTGGATCATTCAGAGATCCTCACTGAACTTCTGGAGAGAGTTTGCTGCACTGAAAGTAAAGGGGCTGAATAATTTTGCACGCCCAATATTTCAGTTTATTATTTGTTAAAAACGTTTGAAATATCCAATAAATTTTGTTCCACTTCATGATTGTGTCCCACTTGTTGTTGATTCTTCACAAAAAATTACAGTTTTATATCTTTATGTTTGAAGCCTGAAATGTGGCAAAAGGTCGCAAAGTTCAAGGGGGCCGAATACTTTCGCAAGGCACTGTATTACTAAATAAATGTGTTGTATAAAATTACTACAAACTCATGTAACACAAAGTGTACTGGTTGGTATTCTGTGCTCCAGGTATGTTGAAACAGCTCTCTGTGATTTTCTGTGGGAACGTTACATGATAGAATCTTGAAGGTAATACACAAGCAACAGCGCATGAAAGTAACAAAAGGTAATTGGAGGCCCCGAGTTCATTTTTGCCTAGTGACCCCTAGTGTTTTAATCCAGACATAAATGAATTGCATTATATTGTAAGTTGCTGCTTATATTTTGTCCGTCCCCTGTACATTAAGACCAAAAACAAGTCAGGAAAACACTAAACTTGTTCTTCTCAGCCTGAAAAAGGACATCCATGTCTAATAGCAGGCATTCTAAACACTACACAGTGCGTTGCCTTTTACTGTCACTTGTCTGTATATCAGATCCTCTTATACCTTTCATAAACCTATGCCCTACACATGCCAGCTACAGAGGGCTTGTGCCAGGAGAGTAGATAAGACTGGGAAACTGCAGGGACAACACACAGGCTGGGTTAGTTGTATAGTGCGTCTCTGAGTGTTTTCAGAACCACATAAACTCTGAAAGTAGTAGCTGTAATCTAGTATAATATTCTCTCTGTGCAACTGCTAATCAGAGAGATCAGAGAGCAGAGTTCTTCCAGAAAATCAGCAAAATAAGCATCAAAAATGTTCATTCTGGGACTTGAGAGCCACATGATTTACATCATGCTGACAGCGAGCATGTGCCAGAGGAACAAGTGAAACAACTGAGAAATATACAATACGTTGTGCTTGTCATCCCTATGATTTCAGACTTTGGAGGACACAGTAAAGATGAGGATCAACAGGCTCTACATCCTGTAATTACTGTCAGCCACCCCTGACTCATCAGCTCTTATCATCATTGTTGTCGTCAAGGATGTGACAGCCGGAAGAAGCAGAGCAGGGATCTCACACAGGAAATACAAAATAAAGCAGACATGTCTAGCAATGTTGAGCATGTTTAGAAGAGGCTAGAAAATTGGTTCAGTTTGGCCTGAAAAAAAGGACAGAGATGATTTGAGAAACCGGGGGAGGATAAAGCAGAGTCACCCAGGAAAGGCCTGGAAGACAGGCGGACTGACAGGATGACATCCTCAGAGGCCGTGACAAAGGACTCAAACAAACACACTGGGCTCAGGAGAGATTTATACTGACTGCTCAAGGAGGAGACTACTGCAGGTCAAACAGCTTCAGAGCACAGGGGAAGTCCATGTGAAAGGCCACTCTGTGCTCCAGTGAGTTTTTACATCAAACCTGGCACTGGATGAATAATACATCCTCTCATGGGCAGCGGCCTTACAGCCACAAACGATCTCCTTCCAGGGAAAAAAGAAACAAACAGAGTTTAGAAAAACACTACATACAAGAACAAGCAAAAAGGAGACTTAAAAAAAAAAAGCATCCAGCAGTTTTAAATACTGAGACATGTGTGTCTCATATAGGAACATACACAGAGCTCACTTGGCTGTGGCAGTGTGAGAAAGTGGACATCACAGTAGATTCTCAGTGTTCACCGCTGTTCTAATGTTCACATAAGCCGCTACTGAGGAAGTGCCCAGGCAGGTCTGTTCGGAAAAGTCAGCAATTCATCTGCTTCAAAGCGGAAACAGGCCTTTGTGCACAAGGTCACCTTTTCACAAACAGTTCCCCCTCCCACTCCTAGCACACACATTCAACACCAGGCAGGGCTATGATGTTCACGTTCTAGTGAACTTTGAGATGTCCTTTGTGGCAGAATATTTTACAGAGCTCAACACTTGTATGAATGTATGCATAACAGGAATGATTATTACTATTTTAGCAGATCAACGCAAGTCTGCTTAATCTTTTACACTCCTTTGTTTCTTAAGTCCTATTTCATCTTATAATCAGAGAATGTAAACTCCTCTTCATGTCACTGAATCCCTCATATTTCAAGAATTATTACCAAGGAAAACATTTCAGTGTCCTGTAAACAGACCAAACTGATTCCTTTCCAAATCTAATTAATTTCTGGTACTGCATAGTTTTATTATCTGATGACCAACACATATGTTAATTAGCTCGACACTGATAGACCGGTGTTAAGAACCTTGTCTGTCATTTAAAGGTATTTAGTTTTGATCATGTAGTTAATTCATGTAAAGTCAATCTGCCATGTTCTTTAGTTTTCTGCTCTTTAGTGTTGTTGATGTTTTAATAAAAATTTCCCTTCATTTCTTATTATTACATCCTTAGTCATAAGCTACATTCACACAATATTATTGGG